TGACCTACAGTTGTTGCTTGTGTGGCTGACTAATGTCATTTGGTTCTTTGTCCTGAAATCAATTACGTCATTGAAGATGTATTTTCATTGACAGTAAAAAGTGCTTTAACCTTAGACTGTATACAAGTGAATGAGCTTGTTTCTGTAGGTGGAATATAACAGCAGTTTTGTTATCATTAGTAAGAGTTTCTTTGTTGATTTAAAGAACATCTGCATCAAGGGATCAGGTTAATAATATATACTAAAAGGATAAAGAAACGCAGGGTGAACTTTAAACCATAAATTAAGTATGATATCGGGCTTCATTTAAAACGAAATTTTGTATACTTACAGATAAATTAAAGCTTAAAAATTTCCAAAGTCTGTATTTTGCATCTGATAATTGGTTTAGAGGTACTAACGATTAAATTGAATGGACCCACAGGATTTTGAAATTGAAATTGAACTGAGTCATCAATATCTTGTGTGTCCGCCGTTTGCTGTGGTCACGGCCCTTATTCTTCTGGTCATAGAGTTCATGAGAGCGTTAATCCGTCTTATGGGGATGTTGTCCCACTCTTCAATCAGAGCTCTGGTCAACTGCTCTCGAGTAGCAGGGGGTGGCTGGCGCTTTCGAACTTGTCTATCCAACTGGTCCCAAAGATACTCGATCGGGGACAAATCAGGGCTATATGGCGGACATTCTAGTGGTTGAACGTTGTTGTTGGCCAGAAAGACTTGGCAAATCCTTGCTACGTGGGGCCTAGCATTATCCTGCTGGAGGGTTAGATTATGCTGCTGTAAGAAAGGGATAACATGGGGTCGGAGGATCTCATCTCTATACTTAGCTGCTGTTAAATTGCCATCAATAACAACCAATTGTGATTTTAACCCGTGTGAGATTCCTCCCCACACCATTACTGAACCGCCCCCAAACCTATCCCTCTCTACCCCCTCTCCGTAAAACGTTCGCCACGACGTCGGTAGACACGTTGACGGCCGTCAGATCGATAAAGACAGAATCGAGACTCGTCCGTGAAGAAAACTTGTCTCCACTGCCTCAGTGGAAACCGTCGTGGAGCATGTGCAGCGACCCAGGCCATACGACGCTGACGTCGAGCAGGGGTAAGGTGTGGACCTACGTAGGGGCGACGTGCTCTTACACCAACTTCTCGTAATCGATTCCTTACAGTTTTTAAACTTATAGGACGCCCATGATTTCCACGAACATTAAGTGCACTCTCAACGGCAGTAAGGCGCCGATTACGCACATGAGAGACGACGATATAGCGATCCTGATGTCGTGACGTTACGCGCGGACGTCCTGACCTAGGTCGATCGGCCAATCGCCCAATCGCCCAGTTTCCCGAAGACGTCTTACAAGACGTTCTATGGTGAAAACATTAACACCAAAGTGCCTAGCAACCTGATTTTGCAGCTGTCCTTGCATCAGCATCTGAATGGCCTGACCCCTCTGAACTTCTGTGAGTCGTGCTATTCTTAAAACGAATCAAATTCTCAATTAATTTTAGGGAAGCAGTTGGTCTGTATAAAGACTAACGAAGAGTGACTTGACCAACGCTGCATGAGACCAGAACAACACGGTGCACGAGATTCTTGTTTTTTCCTTCCTCCATTTACCAGAGCTGCGTACTGTACCGTGACTAAATTTTCGATACATGACAAGGTGTAATATGACCTAATTACTCAATCCACAAAGTTTCACTTTATTTGGAGAACGCGTTTTCAAAATACCGGAATAAATATTACCCTGCGTTTCTTTATCTTTTCAGTATATGAACATAAGGTATATATACACAAGGAGGGGTCAATATATCTATACAAGGTCATTGTTCACATCTATTGTACTGTATACAGCTGATATATTTTGAGACCAATTAAAAGTGTGATATTTTAAGGCTCCAAAGCATCATTTCTCTGTGAATCAATGGCAATGGACTGGATAACAGTCAAATACATAAATATGTACGTATGTGTTTTCCCTATGTAATACTTTTCTATTTATAGCAATGACGACCTTGACATGTAACCTTGAAGCACGAAAATCATTCATTCACAAATCAAATGTTTACAAGAAACAATTTCAACTTCACGATAAATTCGGAAGACAAAAATTAAAAACAAAAGCCTGTGTGATAGAATTATACATTTAATAAAAATGTGAAGCAAATAGAAAGTGATGATACATGAAATTTGACACAATGATCGGTACAAAACAGTAGAAAAGCTACAAGGACTAGGTTTAATACAACATATAAAAGGAATGTTTCCTTGGTAAAGTTAAAAATAGCTCGACTGGGCCAGTTGTTACCATGGGAACCAGTAATACCCTCGATACTATAAGGTGTTATGGGCGACATTTCTCTCGTGCGGATATTCCCTTTCTGTTCTCGGTTCCTATAATCAATATAACGATATGGGGGATTTCCCAACATTACATATGACAGTCTATGTTAATCTCGGGGATTCCCAATCATTAATGTCAATGTCGAGGATTCCCTCATTAACACATGAAAGGTTATAACAATCCTAGGGATTCCCCCATCATTACACATGAAAGGTTAACAATCCTAGGGATTCCCCCATCATTACACATGAAAGGTTAAAAATCCTAGGGATTCCCCCATCATTACACAAGACAGGTTAACAATCCTAGGGATTCCCCCATCATTACACATGAAAGGTTAAAAATCCTAGGGATTCCCCCATCATTACACAAGACAGGTTAACAATCCTAGGGATTTCCCCATCATTACACATGAAAGGTTATACCAATCCTAGGGATTCCCCCATCATTACACAAGACAGGTTAACAATCCTAGGGATTCCCCCATCATTACACATGAAAGGTTAACAATCCTAGGGATTCCCCCATCATTACAAATGAAAGGTTATACCAATCCTTGGGATTCCCCCATCATTACACATGAAAGGTTATACCAATCCTAGGGATTCCCCCATCATTACACATGAAAGGTTATACCAATCCTAGGGATTCCCCCATCATTACACAAGACAGACTATATTTATATCAATGTTGGGAATTCCCCTTGACGTATAGATATTTTACTTGTGTCATGACTTTACTGATATGAAGAATTATGAGCTACAGATACCTGTAAAACACCACATATCCTTGCAATAGAAACCCTGTGTAATTAACTCCACACAAACAACACTCAAATATGCACATATATTATAAAACAGGACAACACCTTACTTCAAAAAAGACAACAATGATATACAACATTATACAGAAACCAGAAAATGACAGGTAATGACCTAATTATATATAGGTAAAGTTGAGCTTACACTGACAAGGTATTGTAATTAATTCATCAAATCCAGTATAAGTAATACCTCTCTGTGATGTATACCTTCAAAAGCTGGTTATTGAATCAAATGTACCCTCAATAAGTTAAAAAACATACAGATCTTGATAAAAATGGTGGAGAGTGTTTTGGTGTGATGGAGTGTGTTTCGGTGCGGTGGAGTGTGTTTCGGTGCGGTGGAGTGTGTTTCGGTGCGGTGGAGTGTGTTTCGGTGCGGTGGAGTGTGTTTTGGTGCGGTGTGTTTCGGTGCAGTGGAGTTTGTTTCGGTGCACTGGAGTTGGGGTAGACATTAAGGGTGATAATCTCTTCCTTCAGAATCACACCTAACATGTAACTGGTTACTGAATGAAGCCTTAGGCTACAGTTATGCAAATCACAAACAGTTTTTAATCCAAAGCAACCAACAAACCTTCAACGTAACTTTGGTTCTTAATGAACAGTTAGGTAGTCATTACACCAGGAGAAAATTGTGTGAATCATCACCATTAAATCAGTTCTTGTTGGACCAAACATCACGTCCTTATCCCCAGTAATATTACAGACAATTAAATCTAACAACTCCCTCTAAAACACAGTATCAACTGATTGATACTGTAATAAAACCCTGAAAAAACTGTAGCTTGTGGCTCCTAACTAGTAACTACACGTGTAACAAGTACCTAGACTTGTAACTAGTAATTATACTTGTACCTAGTAATTATACTTGTAACTAGTAAACATACTTGTAACTAGTAAACATACTTGTAACTAGTAACTCGACTTGTAACTAGTAACTAGACTTCTAACTAGTAAATATAATTGTAACTATCAACTACAGTTGTAACTAGTAATTATACCTGCAACTAGATTTGCAGCAAGTAATAATACTTGTAACTAGTAACTAGATTTGTAAGAAGTAATTATACTTGTAAAAAGTTAACATGCTTGTAACTTATACTTGAGCTACAATAAACATGGGAATGGTAACCGTGTGTCAAACTACTGTTATACATACTATAACTGTGCGTGTTAAAGCCAACAAAGTTTTCAGAGTTTTTACAAAGATTTAAAAGAAAACTCCAGAAAACAAACACAATATTTGTGCTTGAATAATTTCAAATAGACTGAATAAAAACTAAGAAAGGAAATTTTCTGACATTAAAGTGTACTAAGGATGGATGGACAGACAGACCTTGATCATCATTGTAAGTAGTTGTTGTCTGTCCACTTGGACATAAATATCCTGTTTCTCCTCTTTAACAATAATTTTTTTTTGTAAGGACCTCTACACAAATGTATGATTGTACTTTGGCACAAGTTGTATGTTATAATACGAGTCATTTGTTACCGAACGTATGTACATATGATATAGAGTAACGAAAATATTTATATCCTGTGGAATGTCATAGAATTGTAGTGTTTGAAAAACAATGTAAAAAGCTGATGATGTCATATTTCCATCACTGGAAGCAGTTAAGTAAGTAAACAACAGTAACAATAAATGTTTTGTCTGAGTAAATACTTCATACTGATAAACCTTTTATCACACAGATAAACAGAAAACCAAATACAATATCTTAAATGTAGCTAAAGAAGAATACGATGTTAACAATAAAATATGGTATTGACACAAAAAATGTTATAATATCAGGGAATGTGATATTAACAGGAGAATATTATAATATCAGGAATGTGATACTAATTGGATAACATGATAATAACAGGAAAATGTTATTATTAATAAAACAATGTGATATTAACAGGACAATATAGTAAATGTCCATATCGTGTTTGATACATCAATTTGTATTTATTTATCAACACCATGATATAAGCTGAAAGTAATATCTCTTTGGCTATAATTCTTTATATTAAAGGAATATTTTTATCATCTCAAAGATTGATTGTTTTATCACATGGAATATAAATGACAATTTTTGACTACTAATTGATACATGTAATGACCATTGTATGAGAAACTGTCAGATCTTCAACATTGTTTTCCTGAATCCTGGTCGCGTGGCGCAGTGGTAACACACTCGCCTTTCACCTAGCCGCCCAGGGTTCGACTCCTGGAACAGATGTGAAAAGGTAAGGTCACCTGCCCAACCCCTTTTTCCCAGGTACTCCGGTTTCCTCCCACAATAAGACCCCTCACTTGCTTACATCCGGGCCAACAAGAGTGATTATTATCAGCTGAAATAATTTGTTTCACAATTGTTGTAAAACAAATAATGTTTATAGTTTTCCTGAATTTTATACCACCATGGTTATAATTCTTCTCATCACTATATTTATGATGTAAAAAGCCAAGGGCACAAAGAAACACATGACATAAATCAGGGGGTGAGGTTGTGCCTGTGTTGAAACGTTAAATTAATTAAAAAAGTTGTGTTGCTGCATAACAATGAAAGAGACGTAAATCAGGGGTGGAGGTTACTGTAAGACAAGGGAACTTTGACTCAAACAAGAGATGAGTTGACTGCAAGACACTAAAACATTGACTTAAGGGGTGAGTTGACTTAGTGACAACAAAACTTTGACTGAAATCGGGGGTTGTGGACAATGTAAGACAGTGAATCCTGGGTGAGGGTGAAAGGTTAGGTAGTGAGAACGTTTGACTCATATAAGGGATGATGAGCTTCCTGGTGACAGCGAGACAGCAAAGTAAAGTAAATCTTTTTACTGAATTACAATAGAATCCATCAACTAACATCAGTGTTTAATTATAATTACTTCTATACACTTGTATTGTATAGTAAATGACAGTGACTTTGTGTCAGACAGATAACATTCAAAACCCTCACCAGTTATACACTAGCTGTAACATGCTGTTAAAACACTATGCCTAAAAAACTACAATGAGGCAATGACCTTGACCTCATCAAAATGTCCTAAACTATGCCCCAATAAGGGCAGTATAACAAAATTGGAACACTTCAAGGCTGGTAAAGACAAAATGAGTTTCCTCAAGTAAATATCTATAGATCTTAGAGTAATTAATGTGTTTATTATCAGTTAGATTTTGACACCTAAACCAGTTAGATTGCACAATGTCATACCAGAAGAATTCTTAAAAGATCTTTACCTGCTTCATCTATCATGATGATATTGTCTGAGAAATATTTTTATCAAAAAAAAAATAAAAATCCAAAATATTTTGCGGGAATGTTTAGGCCGGACCAGAGGAAAGTCTCGGGTCATCGAAGTATTCAACATAAATCACTTTGAATGTTAAGTGTTAAGTTTGGCTGGGACCACCAAAATACTTCAAATTAAACAGGTCTTCCAGTTAAGTTCAAGATAACAAGATTTATATCTTAGATTTCTTTTTCACAATTTTATCTTATATAATAAAACAATCATGTATTCCAAGACAACCTGCAGGGAGTTATTCAAATGGTCCCTTAATACAGCTTGGCTTTTTATAGGGGTGGTACAAAAGTAAATCGTATATGAAGACAACATACAATGAAAATCTTTGTGTCAGAGCAGGTAAATTTCTGCTTCAGATAAGAATTTAGAAAATATAACAAATATTGTAAGACCATCTTAATCCATAAACTCTCAGCTATACAGCAACAAACAAAGACAGGAAAAAACCAGTTATGTGTTTATCAGATAGCTATTCAGGCCAAACAATCTAATTGATAGTTTAACATTGATTTACCACGTTTTGACAAATATTGATTCAAATATGAATTGAAATCTCAATCAGACAGGTGCTTGACAAATTCCTAAATTAGACCTAGAAAAGGGTATAAGCATTGCCAGTAATACTATGGTAATATTGTACATCTCAATTTGTACAAATAACAGGATTTCATATCATTGAACACTGAATTACGCAGGATAACAATCTGGTTCCAGACCAGCAGAAAATAGTTTTTAAAATCTCTTGAAATATATGTAACAATGCACTGGTATTTTTACTCATCCGAATTCTAACTCGGCTAAAAATAGAATAACACTCTGACCTGTGTTACACACAGTAAGTACATACATGTCTCTATCACACACAAAGAGTGACTAAGTTAGACCCATCATGTTACTAATTACACACACAGAGAGTGACTAAGTTAGACCCAACATGTTACTAATTACACACACAGAGAGTGACTAAGTTAGACACATCATGTTACTAATTACACACAGAGAGTGACTAAGTTAGACACATCATGTTACTAATTACACACACAGAGAGTGACTAAGTTAGACCCAACATGTTACTAATTACACACAGAGAGTGACTAAGTTAGACACATCATGTTACTAATTACACACAGAGAGTGACTAAGTTAGACACATCATGTTACTAATTACACACAGAGAGTGACTAAGTTAGACACATCATGTTACTAATTACGCACAGAGAGTGACTAAGTTAGACCCAACATGTTACTAATTACACACAGAGAGTGACTAAGTTAGACACATCATGTTACTAATTACAACAAATAAACTACAACTACTGAGCTTAGGTAAATCTACCTCTTATACAATATGCCTTCATCAAATATTTAACTACAATGTCGCCAACATCTGTCAAATAATACCTAGTCATAACCTTCAAAATAAGAGAAGACATATTTTAAAGCATTGTCAAGCAACAAAGACCAAATGGCCAATTCTAATATATAGTTATCACATCTGTTGCCATTAACATGATGTTTGTTAGGATTCCACATTATTTGGCCGTATCAGATCCAAAATGTTAATTTGAAACTTTTAAATATTGATCAAAAGCCATGAAATTTAAAGTAAATATAGCATTATTGATGATTAGAGAAAGTCATCATATGGATAAAATCAGGCAAGTTAGCAACACTGTAACTATTGCAAATTTTGTCTTGGAAATTACAACAATACATGAGAAACAAGTTCACAGGGACCTAACCTGAATGGTCCAAGGGAGACAATGAGTTTAAAGTCATACATAGTACTTTATTCATTCATCTTGGTCGTCGGGTTCACTGGAGTTACCTCCCTTGCAAGAAATCTCCTGTTTGAGAAGAGATTTTGGAAACAGGCCAAGGCTGATGTAATCATCCAGCATCTGGAAGAGACAACAGACAATATTTAATCATCAGGATCTTATCATCATCTGAGGACAATGAACCACATCTGATGTACTGAAAATCATATCCCAGTTATAGAGAATTGGTTAGATATCAACATTAGTCTCTGACCCATTGCCAGGGACTGGGCTTATTACAGGACAAGGGTAAAGTGACTGTTGAAAATTCTACTAGACACCAGTAGATATTATCAAGCATGAGTTTACTATACAATAGATACATGTATGTCTCAGTAAGCAAAGTATGTATTGCTGTCATTGAATCAAAACAATATTACAATATAAATATATACATCCATCACAGGATAAACATGGTGCATGTGTAACAATATATACATCCATCACAGGATAAACATGGTGCATGTGTAACAATATATACATCACAGGATAAACATGGTGCATGTGTAACAATATATACATCACAGGATAAACATGGTGCATGTGTAACAATATATACATCACAGGATAAACATGGTGCATGTGTAACAATATATACATCACAGGATAAACATGGTGCATGTGTAACAATATATACATCACAGGATAAACATGGTGCATGTGTAACAATATATACATCACAGGATAAACATGGTGCATGTGTAACAATATATACATCACAGGATAAACATGGTGCATGTGTAACAATATATACATCACAGGATAAACATGGTGCATGTGTAACAATATATACATCACAGGATAAACATGGTGCATGTGTAACAATATATACATCACAGGATAAACATGGTGCATGTGTAACAATATATACATCACAGGATAAACATGGTGCATGTGTAACAATATATACATCACAGGATAAACATGGTGCATGTGTAACAATATATACATCACAGGATAAACATGGTGCATGTGTAACAATATATACATCACAGGATAAACATGGTGCATGTGTAACAATATATACATCACAGGATAAACATGGTGCATGTGTAACAATATATACATCACAGGATAAACATGGTGCATGTGTAACAATATATACATCACAGGATAAACATGGTGCATGTGTAACAATATATACATCACAGGATAAACATGGTGCATGTGTAACAATATATACATCACAGGATAAACATGGTGCATGTGTCACACTATATACATCACTGGATAAACATGGTGCATGTGTAACAATATATACATCACAGGATAAACATGGTGCATGTGTAACAATATATACATCACAGGATAAACATGGTGCATGTGTAACAATATATACATCACAGGATAAACATGGTGCATGTGTAACAATATATACATCACAGGATAAACATGGTGCATGTGTAACAATATATACATCACAGGATAAACATGGTGCATGTGTAACAATATATACATCACAGGATAAACATGGTGCATGTGTAACAATATATACATCACAGGATAAACATGGTGCATGTGTAACAATATATACATCACAGGATAAACATGGTGCATGTGTAACAATATATACATCACAGGATAAACATGGTGCATGTGTAACAATATATACATCACAGGATAAACATGGTGCATGTGTAACAATATATACATCACAGGATAAACATGGTGCATGTGTAACAATATATACATCACAGGATAAACATGGTGCATGTGTAACAATATATACATCACAGGATAAACATGGTGCATGTGTAACAATATATACATCACAGGATAAACATGGTGCATGTGTAACAATATATACATCACAGGATAAACATGGTGCATGTGTAACAATATATACAGAATGTCTATGTGTTTTGAAATATCACACTACATGCTTATGTTAACATTGTACTTCCTATCTGTGAAGGTCTTAATGGCACAATACAGATCGATTTGGTAGTAAACATCACACTTCCTGTCTGTGCAGGTCTATATGGCACAATACATCATACTTCCTGTCTGTGAAGGTCTTAATGGCACAATACATCAGACTTCCTGTTGGGTGAAGGTGTATATGGCACAATACATCATACTTCCAGTCTGTGCAGGTCTATATGGCACAATACATCATACTTCCTGTCTGTGAAGGTCTTAATGGCACAATACATCATACTTCCTGTCTGTAAATATCTTTATGGTAGTAAACATCATACTTCCTGTCTGTGAAGGTCTTAATGGCACAATACATCATACTTCCTGTCTGTGAAGGTGTATATGGCAGGATACATCATACTTCCAGTCTGTGAAGGTCTATATGGCACAATACATCATACTTCCTGTCTGTGAAGGTCTTAATGGCACAATACATCATACTTCCTGTCTGTGAAGGTCTTAATGGCACAATACATCATACTTCCTGTCTGTGAAGGTCTTAATGGCACAATACATCATACTTCCTGTCTGTGAAGGTCTTAATGGCACAATACATCATACTTCCTGTCTGTGAAGGTCTTAATGGCACAATACATCATACTTCCTGTCTGTGAAGGTCTTAATGGCACAATACATCATACTTCCTGTCTGTGAAGGTCTTAATGGCACAATACATCATACTTCCTGTCTGTGAAGGTCTATATGGCACGATACATCATACTTCCTGTCTTTGAAGATCAATTTGGAAGTAAACATCGTACTTCCTGTCTGTGAAGGTCTTTATGGCACGATACATAATATTTCCTGTCTGTGAAGATCGGTTTGGTAGTAAACATCATACTTCCTGTCTGTGAAGGTCTTAATGGCACGATACATCATACTTCCAGTCAGTGAAGGTCTTAATGGCACAATACATCATACTTCCTGTCTGTGAAGGTCTTAATGGCACAATACATCATACTTCCTCTCTGTGAAGATCGGTTTGGTAGTAAACATCATACTTCCTGTCTGTGAAGGTCTTAATGGCACAATACATCATACTTCCTGTCTGTAAATATCTTTATGGTAGTAAACATCATACTTCCTGTCTGTGAAGGTCTTAATGGCACAATACATCATACTTCCTGTCTGTGAAGGTCTTAATGGCACAATACATCATACTTCCTGTCTGTGAAGGTATATATGGCAGGATACATCATACTTCCAGTCTGTGAAGGTCTATATGGCACAATACATCATACTTCCTGTCTGTGAAGGTCTTAATGGCACAATACATCATACTTCCTCTCTGTGAAGATCGGTTTGGTAGTAAACATCATACTTCCTGTCTGTGAAGGTCTTAATGGCACAATACATCATACTTCCTGTCTGTAAATATCTTTATGGTAGTAAACATCATACTTCCTGTCTGTGAAGGTCTTAATGGCACAATACATCATACTTCCTGTCTGTGAAGGTCTTAATGGCACAATACATCATACTTCCTGTCTGTGAAGGTATATATGGCAGGATACATCATACTTCCAGTCTGTGAAGGTCTATATGGCACAATACATCATACTTCCTGTCTGTGAAGGTCTTAATGGCACAATACATCATACTTCCTGTCTGTGAAGGTCTTAATGGCACAATACATCATACTTCCTGTCTGTGAAGGTCTTAATGGCACAATACATCATACTTCCTGTCTGTGAAGGTCTTAATGGCACAATACATCATACTTCCTGTCTGTGAAGGTCTTAATGGCACAATACATCATACTTCCTGTCTGTGAAGGTCTTAATGGCACAATACATCATACTTCCTGTCTGTGAAGGTCTTAATGGCACAATACATCATACTTCCTGTCTGTGAAGGTCTATATGCATGATACATCATACTTCCTGTCTTTGAAGATCAATTTGGAAGTAAACATCGTACTTCCTGTCTGTGAAGGTCTTTATGGCACAATACATAATATTTCCTGTCTGTGAAGATCGGTTTGGTAGTAAACATCATACTTCCTGTCTATGAAGGTCTTAATGGCACGATACATCATACTTCCAGTCTGTGAAGGTCTATATGGCACAATACATCATACTTCCTGTCTGTGAAGGTCTTAATGGCACAATACATCATACTTCCTGTCTGTGAAGGTCTTAATGGCACAATACATCATACTTCCTGTCTGTGAAGGTCTTAATGGCACAATACATCATACTTCCTGTCTGTGAAGGTCTTAATGGCACAATACATCATACTTCCTGTCTGTGAAGATCGGTTTGGTAGTAAACATCATACTTCCTGTCTGTGAAGGTCTTAATGGCATGATACATCATACTTCCTGTCTGTGAAGGTCTTAATGGCATGATACATCATACTTCCTGTCTGTGAAGATCTTAATGGTAGTAAACATCACACTTCCTGTCTGTGAAGATCTATTTGGTATTAAACATCATACTTCCTGTCTGTGATGGTCTGTATGGTAAGAAACATCACACTTCCTGTCTGTGAAGGTCTGTATGGTAGGGAACATCACACTTCCTGTCTGTGCAGGTCTGTATGGTAGGAAACATCACACTTCCTGTCTGCACTAATGGTGTAGAATTAGACATCCTGTATCTTATGGATTATAGAGGTACTTTACTCTGACAAACATTAGCATATATTACATCATGAATGATTTTAAAGAAAACAAGTTATGTTTCCATAGTTACCTCACGGAGATGGTCTTGCCTTGGAGCCGGTATCTGGTAACTAAATCCAGAGTCTAAAAGCTTCTTCCCATCAAGATACAGGTGTTTGTTGTACAGAAGTTCCTGTTAAGAAAAACAGTAAAAAATGATAAATAAAAATCCATGGAAACTCACAACAACTAACACTGCAGGTAAACATACAAACCACTTCTGTTTCCTATATATCAAATTCATTCTGCAAAAACAAAATTAAATCTCAGCCAGTTTGACCTTTGAATAATGACCTCATATATCCTATGACAGAAAGGGACCAAAGGTTACAACATATCGCCTTAGTTCTAATCTAGTTTTAATCTCCCTGTCAAGTCTTAATTAAAACATACACTTGACATTCTTCTGAAATTATCAGATTTTATGAAATCTGGGCAATGTATTGAATTATAGGGCAAGTGTAATTTCCCATCTAGAGTTTGACTTCTACCTTTAATCCTATAGATTTTCCCCAGTCACCTCCCAGACTTTAGGCCCTTAATCCTTTAGATTTTCCCCAGTCACCTCCCAGACTTAAGGCCCTTAATCCTTTAGATTTTCCCCAGTCACCTCCCAGACTTTAGGCCCTTAATCCTTTAGATTTTCCCCAGTCACCTCCCAGACTTTAGGCCCTTAATCCTTTAGATTTTCCCCAGTCACCTCCCAGACTTTAGGCCCTTAATCCTTTAGATTTTCCCCAGTCGCCTCCCAGACTTTAGGCCCTTAATCCTTTAGATTTTCCCCAGTCGCCTCCCAGACTTTAGGCCCTTAATCCTTTAGATTTTCCCCAGTCACCTCCCAGACTTTAGGCCCTTAATCCTTTAGATTTTCCCCAGTCACCTCCCAGACTTTAGGCCCTTAATCCTTTAGATTTTCCCCAGTCGCCTCCCAGACTTTAGGCCCTTAATCCTTTAGATTTTCCCCAGTCGCCTCCCAGACTTTAGGCCCTTAATCCTTTAGATTTTCCCCAGTCACCTCCCAGACTTTAGGCCCTTAATCCTTTAGATTTTCCCCAGTCGCCTCCCAGACTTTAGGCCCTTAATCCTTTAGATTTTCCCCAGTCGCCTCCCAGACTTTAGGCCCTTAATCCTTTAGATTTTCCCCAGTCGCCTCCCAGACTTTAGGCCCTTAATCCTTTAGATTTTCCCCAGTCACCTCCCAGACTTTAGGCCCTTAATCCTTTAGATTTTCCCCAGTCACCTCCCAGACTTTAGCCCCTTATTCTCACTGATGAAGAAAACGTCTGTATGATGCAGTTAACTTCATTATTATGCTCTAGTGTACCTAATTCTAAATCAATTTTGTTTTAAAAGTTTCTATTAACTTGTTTGTTAACTTGTAAGTTCTTTGACGTCGGCGTACAGGTAAATGTACCGTCAATATTTCTGATGCAAACACTTAACAGGAAATAATGTCGGCATCTGATATCACACAAAGACAAAATGTAAGTTACAGGTAACAATGGGTATTATATTTAATTCTTGATGATGGATTAGACATGAACGTGATAACAGCAACAAAGCTGAATGTTAATAGCTTTGCTGAGTTCAGATGGCTTTAAATAAAGCGAAGTTGTAAGAGGAGAACCAGTAGATAGTGATATACCCCACGTACAAAGACCACACCAGACCGAGATCAGCTGTTCAAGAGCTACTCTGAGCCTTCTGATTTGGATTGGGGTGCAGTTATTAATGAGGGATTATTGGGACTCTACAATGTACATGTATATATGTTTCAATTATTTAATTGGTAAACTTGTGTATTTTTTGGTAATTAAAGAGATTATATGACCATGAATTTAACAAGTGTTTTATAGCCAGCAGTCAAACATTTTGTCTGATAACGTGCTTCATTAACATAGCTCACAGGAGGCTTTTTTATGTTTGAAATTGTATTAACTAAAAGAAATATGCCGGAAATAAGGGTCGACATGAAAACCACCATGCAAGCCTTAATATACTGAATAATTTTTATTCTGTTGGCAAATAATGTACAACTATGGCAGACAGATACTGAGAGTCACATCTAACACAACAGAAGACAAAAAAACTCCCTAAACTCCCCCTTAACTGTGTATCTGATTCAGCCTCTAAACATACCTCGTCGATGAAAGGGTTAAGTGGGGTGTTAGACACATCGTCTGCCTGACAGGCGGCGGCCCATGGCGTCATATGCTTGTCATTGATTTCCTCCACCACACTCGTCATGTTTACCTAACACACAGCAAAACTTTTTTCATAAACTCATCAATGTAAAAACATGGAGATTTTAAACAAGAGGCCCATGGGCCTTAACGGTCATCTGACAAAAAGCATGCCAAACTCTAACAACAGTGAGTCTGCCGTTAAAACAATTGGCTTTATTCATTTGAATAAACTTGGTAGCCCTTCCTCCCAGCATCCTACAGGCCCAATATCAGCACTCTGAGCCTTTTGGTTACCTAGAAGAAGTTGTTTACAGATTTTAACATATTTGAACCCTGTGATCTTGAAAGTGGGTCAAGGTCATTCACTTGAACACATTTGGTAACACTTCCTCAAAGCATCCTACAGGCCCAATATCAGCACTCTAATCATTTTGGTTATTGAGAAGGCATATGCATATTTTAACATTTTTAACCCCTGTGACCTTGAAAGTGGGTCAAGGTCATTCATTTGAACAAATTTGGTAGCATGTCATCCCAGCATCCTACAGGTCCATTATCAGCATTCTGAGCCTTTTGGTTGTTGAGAAGAAGTTGTTTAAAATTTTTCACATATTTAACCCCGGTGACCTAGAAAGTGGGTTGAGGTCATTCATCTGAACAAACTTGGTAGCCCTTCATCCCAGCATGCTACAGGCCAAATATCAGTACTCATGGACTTTTGCTTATTGAGAAGAAGTTGTTTGTATATTTTAACATATTTGACCCCTGTGACCTTGAAAGTCGGTCAAGTTCATTAATTTGCCAGCATGCTATGGGCCAAGTATTAGCCCCCTAGGCCTTCTAGTATTTGAGAAGAAGTTTTTTGAATGAAAAGTTTATGGATGACACACGGCGGACGGCGCACGGCGGACGACGACGGACGAAGCACGATGGCTATAGGTCATCTCGACCCTTCGGGTCAGATGACCTAAAAATCAGAAAAGTGTTTCACATTTGTTTCACTGAATGGTATCAGAGTTTGTGTTAATAAACTTTTTTTGAGTGATGTTTATTTTCCTTAAGTTTGCAAAAATATTAAAAGTTTACTGATGCATGACGCCATACAAAAGGCAATAGGTCAATATGAGACTCAGGTGTCCAAACAACAGAGTACATTAAAAAGACATTTTTCCTGATGACTTTTAAAACACCTCGTTCTACTCAATCTTGAATGGCTATGACCAGATATTAGATAGCTAGAGGTTGGAAACACTGAACTGTAAAATTAGGAATATGGTAGTTCAATAAAGAAAACTCTTTATCTTGAAAAATGTTCAGACCTCATACCATCTATTACTTTACAACTTGACACAGGTCCATATATCAGAACTTTTACTTCACCCATTAAAAATGTCATTTCAATCGCAGTAGTCTACTCTCGTAAAAACTTGACTAGAGTTACCTACCTTGGCAATGTTTGAGAACATAGAGCCGACAAAGTCGTACTGGATGTTGAAAACTTCTGACACCAGGTGGCACACTTTACCTTGAGCTGTCAGAAAAAAAAATGAATCAATGTACACAAATCAATAACAATCCATTAATTCTCAGAATGATTAGACTGGAATTTCTTTATAAAGGTAACAATAAAAATCACATTTGTATCTACACTATCTACAATATTGTACACATGGCCACGGTTGCCATGGTGATATTTACGAGTGTAACTTACTGGTGTCTGCACTATCTACAATATTGTACACATGGCTGTGGTTGCCATGGTGATATTTACAAGTGTAACTTACTGGTGTCTGCACTATCTACAATATTGTACACATGGCTGTGGTTGCCATGGTGATATTTACAAGTGTAACTTACTGGTGTCTGCACTATCTACAATATTGTACACATGGCTGTGGTTGCCATGGTGATATTTACAAGTGTAACTTACTGGTGTCTGCACTATCTACAATATTGTACACATGGCTGTGGTTGCCATGGTGATATTTACAAGTGTAACTTACTGGTGTCTGCACTATCTACAATATTGTACACATGGCTGTGGTTGCCATGGTGTTATTTACGAGTGTAACTTACTGGTGTCTGCACTATCTACAATATTGTACACTTGGCCACGGTTGCCATGAAGACAGAGATGCCACACAGCTCGACACACATCCTCCACATGAACTGTGTTCATCTTCAGATCCTTCGTCCAAAGCATCTGTAACACAACAGGAGGATGAAAGGACAGACATTTCCAAAAATGTATAACATACCAGCAGGACTAATATACGACAGACATCTGTCACATACCAGCAGGATGATAGGACAGACATCTGTCACATACCAGCAGGATGATAGGACAGACATCTGTCACATACCGGCAGGATGATGATAGGACAGACATCTGTCACATACCAGCAGGATGATGATAGGACAGACATCTGTCACATACCAGCAGGATGATGATAGGACAAACATCTGTCACATACCAGCAGGATGATCTGTCACATACCAGCAGGATGATAGGACAAACATCTATCACATACCAGCAGGTTGATGATAGAACAGACATCTGTCACATACTAGCAAGATGATGATAGGACAGACATCTGTCACATACCAGCAGGACAATAGGACAGACATCTGTCACATACCAGCAGGATGGTGATAGGACAGACATCTGTCACATACCAGCAGGATGATGATAGGACAGACATCTGTCACATACCAGCAGGATGATAGGACAGACATCTGTCACATACCAGCAGGACAGACAGACATACATTGCAAACAGATAAAATAAAATGACAGATAAAAGATACCAACAGATCACATGACTCTCACCTTCATTTTCTGTCTGATGTATTTATAGATTGCTCCAATAATCAGTCTGGGTGCTGGAAGGTAAAAAAACGAAATGGTTTCAAATAAAGTGTTTCAAGTTATATAGGCAGACTATGATTCTATATCCAACAGTACACTATTAATCATTAGCATTCACAAAATACCGCCTGAAATATTTTAATTTCCAACGATCAGTGTTCATATTGTTCTTCCCTTTTGTCTTTAACACTACAAGGATCATAGCTGCACATTAAGCAGGCATCACTATGATGTCTGTACTTACTGAGGTCCTGCCTGTCCCCCAGGGCTGTACATACTGAGACTCTGCCTGTCCCCCAGGGCTGTACTAACAGAGACTCAGCCTGTCCCCCAGGGTGTAATTACTGAGACTCTGCCTGTCCCTCAGGGCTGTACTTACTGAGACTCTGCCTGTCCCTCAAGGCTGTAGTTACTGAGACTCTGCCTGTCCGCCAGGGCTGTACATACTGAGACTCTGCCTTGTCTGTCCCTGGGGTGTACTTACTGAGGTCTTGTCTGTCCCCGGGGTGTACTTACTGAGGCCTTGTCTGTCCCCGGGGTGTACTTACTGAGGCCTTGTCTGTCCCCGGGGTGTACTTACTGAGGCCTTGTCTGTCCCTGGGGTGTACTTACTGAGGTCTTGTCTGTCCCCGGGGTGTACTTACTGAGGCCTTGTCTGTCCCTGGGGTGTACTTACTGAGGTCTTGTCTGTCCCCGGGGTGTACTTACTGAGGCCTTGTCTGTCCCCGGGGTGTACTTACTGAGGTCTTGTCTGTCCCCGGGTAGTACTTACTGAGGCCTTGTCTGTCCCTGGGGTGTACTTACTGAGGTCTTGTCTGTCCCTGGGGTGTACTTACTGAGGTCTTGTCTGTCCCCGGGGTGTACTTACTGAGGCCTTGTCTGTCCCCGGGGTGTACTTACTGAGGTCTTGTCTGTCCCCGGGTAGCACTTACTGAGGCCTTGTGTATCCCCGGGTTGTACTTACTGAGGCCTTGTCTGTCCCCTTTGTGTACTTACTGAGTCCTTGCCTGTCCCCTGGGCCGTACACTATAGCTGGCCTCACTATGATGTAGTTTAAATCTTTAAGGTCCTCTATTTGACTCTCCACCTCCAGTTTGTGTTTGGCAAGATGTGTCCATGGTTCACATTTCCCGTCCTCACGACACGGTTTCTGTAATCAGGGTAGATAACTCATCAAACAACTACCTATATTAATCATCTTATATTCATTGACCAGAAGCTTGAAGCCAATTAGATACCTTGTTTGTATTGTTCTGTGAGTTATTTACTCCTGACCTTTCACTTCGTTATCAACACATATTCCAACCAAATTCAAACAGAAGTAAAAATTTACAGTCTCGAAAAAAGTTTGCACTTAACTGACCTTCCACTCACTTTCTTGGAATGGATCAAGGTCAAGGACATCCAATGGAAATGCACTACATTCCACAAGAGTGAGGGTTTTGCCTGATAAATATCAGGTTTTAATTTATTTACCATTTGATAAAACACTTAACAGACACGAGAAAGGATTTTCTGAGTTGCAGTAATATAATATTCTTTTATATCATTAAAAACAGAAAAGTCATCATTAAACATATAATATCATTTTTGTAACAAGTCTTCATCTGGTAACAATCTCATGTCTGGTTACTAACCCCATATTTGGTGATTTATCCATGTCATATGATAAATCAATGTCTGGCAATAAGCCCATGTCTGGTAATAAGCCCATGTCTGGTGATAAGTCCATGTCTGATAATAAGTCCATGTCTGGTGATAAGTCCATTTCTGGTAAAAAGACCATGTCTGGTAATAAGTTAGTGTCTGGTGATAAGTCCATGTCTGGTAATAAGTCCATGACTGGTAATAAGTCTGTGTCTGGTGATAAGTCCATGTCTGGTAATAAGCCCATGTCTGGTGATTAGCCCATGTCTGGTAATAAGTCAGTGTCTGGTAATAAGTCCATGTCTGGTAATAAGTACATGACTGGTATTAAGTCTGTGTCTGGTGATAAGTCCATGTCTGGTAATAAGTCAGTGTCTGGTAATAAGTCCATGTCTGGTAATAAGTTAAGTCCATGTCTGGTAATAAATCCATGTCTGGTGATAAGTACACGTCTGGTGATAAGTCCATGTCTGGTAATAAGTCAGTGTCTGGTAATAAATCCATGTCTGGTGATAAGTCCGTGTCTGGTAATAAGTCCATGTCTGGTAATCAGTCCATGTTTGATAATAAGGAAAATCGCATCTGTTGTAGATATACAGTGAAACCTCACCTAACGACCACCTCAAAATTACGACCACCCCGCTATTACGGGCACTTTTTTTCAGTCCCGTTTTTTTCCACTATATATCTTTGTATTGGTCGCTTCAGTATTACGACCACCCCGCTATTCCGTATTACGACCACTTCCTACAGTCCCAACGACCACTTATTAACGATAATTGACCTCACCATTACGACCACGGCCTGACCAGTGATTAAAGTTTACCTGGTGGGCAGTGAACCGCGGACTTGTGGGTCGTTCACGACCATTGTTTTCGTCACGGGTTACCGACCCTGTCACCAGGTGGCGTTAAACGAAGTAAACATCATTATCGGACTAGCTTGGCCTACCCGTCCGAAACCGCGTGCTAGACACATTTTAATAGCGATCCGTTGTTTGTTAATTATATATTGATAGATCGGTAGGTTTATAAACGCCTTAGAAGCCCTGCATACCCAAAAATGAATTATGTAGTCGTTTCGGCCGATATTCATTGGCTTGCACGCGCACACGTTGTCGAGGGTTTTTAACTGTTTTTCTAGTAATGTTTCACTCTCGATATCGTTTGAACAATAAAAAAAACGTATATGTGTTCCAATTTTTTTACGACACATTTCTCTGTCACAAAACTCCGATGAACTTTATCAAGCAATGACGAAACCACGGAAACGAAACGAGCTATCGCGATCGGTAAAAAGGACGTATGAAAGAGGAGGCTGTCCAGATCCGTAGCTCTTCGCAATATTGTGCTCCGGACTCTTTTTTTAAGTAAAAAGAAAGATGTGTTGTACTGAGTGATACACTGATAAAGATAATGTGTTTGCGAATTTAAGTGAAAAATGAAGCGTTGAAAGACTTTATAGTGACTTCATTAAAGTTGTTACAAATATTGAGTAAATGTGTTCGTAAATTTATGTGAAATAGTTGCAAAATTAACCTTAAATTCCAATTTAACTTAAAATGGATTGTTTGTTTCCTTTTATTCAATGTTTACAATAGTAAATATACATGTTTATTATGATATAAACTAAGGAATATATACATAATTATTCTTCTGTCAATTCAGCAATTTTGTCTTTTTTACATGCATTTCATAAAATTCAACATTTTAGTTTATTATTATTAGTTATTATTGTTGATTAATATACATGTACATTACTTAATGATATATATACTCTTTATTTTAAACAGAGTTACGGTTCTTTGTGGTTAAATCTGATCCACCTCACTATTAAGACCACCTCGCTATTAAGACCACTTTTGTCCAGTCCCCAAAGTGGTCTTAATAGCGAGGTTTCACTGTAGCAGAAATAATAAAATACCAGTCCCTCTCTTAATATGGTAACTGTAGCCCCAGCCTCCCCCTGGCATATTTGAGTATATTTACACTAAATATAGTGATAATATCATGTTAAAATTACCATTGGTTGTATCATAGAGGTTTGATATAATTAGACAACAGGAAGTCAGGACATTATTAAAGATCTATGATACAAGGTGAGTGGATTAAATTATAAAAAAAAATGAAAACTGATGATTTGAGTAGAGCATCAATTGTTTGTATCAAGCTTGTAGTCGTTTTATAGGTATAACTGAAGCAGAGTTAAAGGTATACAATGATTCTTAATGGTGTAATACTTTAATGGTGTTATACTTTAATGGTGTTATATTTTGATAGTGTTATATCTTAATGGCGATTAAATCATAGTGGTTAATTAAGTTCATACCAAATCTATTTCAGTATAAAGTTACAATGAGCATGGATTATAACAGTGTTAATGATCATCTTCAACATCAGAAACTTCTGCTTTCATTAAACCACTACTTTAAAGGCCACCAGAAAAGGCCTGTTTAATTATACCATTAAATCATCTATAATAAAAACAAGCCTACAAGGAACGATGCAGATTACAATCAGATCAACCAAAGAAGATCAATGTACAACAAGAGGCCCATATGGCCTGTATCACTCACCAGGCTTCAGTAAAACTGAAGGAAAAGGAATTCTAAATATCAAAACATAAAAAAAAACACAGAGGGATAGACGGAGGGATAGACAGAGGGATAGACAGAGGGATAGAGTGAAAGACGGAGGGATAGATGGATGGAGGGACTGACTGAGGGATTAGACGTAGGGATAGACTGAGGGATAGATGGAGGAATAGACGGAGGGATAGACGGAGGGATAGACAGAGGGATAGACAGAGAGAGGGACAGACAGAGGGATAGACGGAGGGATAGGCGGAGGGATAGATAGAGGGATAGACGGAGGGATAGACAGAGGGATAGACAGAGGGAGGGACAGAGGGATAGATGAAGGGATAGACAGAGGGATAGACAGAGGGAGGGACAGAGGGATAGACGGAGGAATAGACGGAAAGATAGACAGAGGGATAGATGGAGGGTTAGACAGAGGGATATCTGGAGGAATAGATGGATGGAGGGATAGACAGAGGGATAGACAGAGGGATAGACGGAGGGATAGACGGAGGGATAGACAGAGGGCTAGACAGAGGGATATATGGAGGGATAGATGGATGGAGGGATTGACTGAGGGATAGATGGTGGGATAGACTGAGGGATAGATGGAGGGATAGATGGATGGAGGGATAGATGGAAAGATAGACAGAGGGATAGACGGAAGATAGACTGAGGGATAGACTGAGGGATAGCAGAGGGAGGGACAGAGGGATAGATGGATGGATAGATGGATAGAGGGATAGACAGAGGGATAGACTGAGGGATAGATGGAGGAGTAGACGGAGGGATAGACGGAGGGATAGACAGAGGGATAGTGATAGACGGAGGGATATATGGAGGGATAGACAGAGGGATAGACAGAGGGATAGACTGAGGGATAGACAGAGGGATAGATGGTGGGATAGATGGAGGGATAGATGGAGGGATAGACTGAGGGATAGACTGAGGGATAGACAGAGGGATAGACTGAGGAATAGACAGAGGGATAGATGGAGGGATAGGCAGAGGGATAGATGGAGGGATAGACTGAGGGATAGACAGAGGGATAGACAGAGGGATAGACGGAGGGAAAGACTGAGGGATAGACAGAGGGATAGACGGTGGGATAGATAGAGGGATAGACGGAGGGATAGACTGAGGGATAGATGGAGGGATAGACGGAGGGATAGACAGAGGGATAGAGTGAAAGACAGAGGGATAGACAGAGGGATAGATGGAGGGAAAGACTGAGGGATAGGCAGAGGGATAGACGGTGGGATAGATAGAGGGATAGACGGAGGGATAGACTGAGGGATAGATGGAGGGATAGACAGAGTGATAGACGGAGGGAAAGACAGAGGGATAGACGGAGGGATAGAAAGAGGGATAGACGGTGGGTTAGATAGAGGGATAGACGGAGGGATAGACAGAGGGATAGACTGAGGGATAGACAGTGGGATAGATAGAGGGATAGACAGAGTGATAGACAGAGGGATAGGCAGATGGATAGACTGAGAGATAGACTGAGGGATAGATGGAGGGATAGACTGAGGGATAGATGGAGGGATAGACTGAGGGATAGATGGAGGGATAGACTGAGGGATAGATGGAGGGATAGACAGAGGGATAGACGGAGGGATAGATGGAGGGATAGATGGAGGGATAGACAGAGGGATAGATGGAGGGATAGACAGAGGGATAGACAGAGGGATAGATGGAGGGATAGACAGAGTGATAGACTGAGGGATAGACAGAGGGATAGACAGAGGGATAGACAGAGGGATAGACTGAGGGATAGATGGAGGGATAGACTGAGGGATAGATGGAGGGATAGACAGAGGGATAGATGGAGGGATAGACAGAGGGATAGACGGAGGGATAGACAGAGGGATAGACAGAGGGATAGACAGAGGGATAGACGGAGGGATAGACAGAGGGATAGA